AAGTTCACGAAATAAAACTTCGTTTTAATTTTTGTGAGTTCGTAAAAACCGTGGCTGGATCATCTGTGCTAAGTGAATATCAATGAGAAACGCACTTAGGTGCTCAGGGAAAGACCATTGTTTGGCTTTTTTTTGTTATTCATGCACAAAAACATGATGTTGCCACATCCTTTTTTGATACTTGAGGATCAACTTGCGTTATATTCAAAGAGATTTTCGAATTTTTTTTTAAATATTCAATCGGAACTATTAGTCTGGCTACATCACTTTGCGCTACTTGTGCGTTAGTTCTTCAATTTTTTTCTCTTGGTAGGTTTAAATTCATTAGAAATTCTCTTCTTCCAAACTTTTTTGTTTTTGTTTCTAAATCTAGTTTTTATCACACCATTAGTGCTAATTGTATAAAAAACATACTCAGCTTAAAAGTCTTATGCTTTTACAATTCAAATTTAAAAACTTAGTACGGCAACCTCATTCTCTGCTCTTTAGCTTCAAGGCTGTATTTTTCTGCTCCTGGGTTTTGTTTATCTTTCTAGCATTAAGCAAACCTTTAGTTTTATTCGAACTTTCACTAGCTCAACGAGATGCCCATAATAGCTGTCAAGTGCCGTCAAAAATGCAAAAACTTGTCCCTCGAAACTGCTTGCAAGAACAGATACTCAATTAAGGCTCACACCCAGACCAATTTTTTTTTCGTTTTTGTTAGTTTTTCATCTCGATAACTGCGGTGGGATGATTTTCGGCATCCAGTCCGTTAATTTGTTCATCAATATTTGACCATTGTGAGGCTTAAAGTTTTGATAAAAAACTATATTTCGTCATTTTATTTCGTTGTTGATTTGAACAAAATGAGATCTGTCACCTCTGATAATTGCACATCAGCAGGCACTCAGCTTAAGTTCAAATTCACAGCAAGAAAAAAGAATAGATTTTTCTATATTTGTTTTGTTTTTCTATGATTAATACTATTGCAACCACATTCAGTGTTTTTCTCATAGGCTTGTACATCAACTAGTTACTCAAATTACACTTATACTGAGCGTATTAGATGTCCTCTTTTGTTTTCCACTTCAATGTATATCTGTGCGTTAGTTTGATCATCATCTGTGCTGACTCTCGATAGAAAAAAAGTTCATGATGGGAAACTCAATTTAATTTTTTATATAATCGTAAAAACCGTGGCCCGATCATCTGTGCTAATTGAATATCAATGAGAAACGCACTTAGGTTCTCAGGGAAAGACCATTGTTTGGCTCTTTTTTGTTATTTATGCACAAAAACATGATGTTGTTACATCTTTTTGTGATACTTGAGGATAAATTTGCGTTATATTCAAGAGATTGTCGAAAAAAAAATTTAGCATTCAATCGGAACTATTAGTCTGGCTACATCACTTTGCGCTACTTGTGCGTTACTTCATCAACTGTTTTCTCTTGGTAGGTTTAATTTCATTAGAAATTCTCTCCTTCTAAACTTTTTTGTTCTGTTTTTAAATCTAGTTTTTTATCAGACCATTAGTGCCTATTGTGTATAAAAAGATACTCAGCTTAAAAGTCTTATGCTTTTAATAATCAAAATAAAAAATTTAGTCTGGCAACCTCGTTCTTTGCTCTTTAGTCTCAAGGTTGTATTTCTCTGCTCTTCCATTTTCATATTTTATTGAGGTCGGATTTTTTGGTGGCACTTGCATATCAACAAGTTGCTCGTTGTAGGTTCAAAACAAGTTCTAAAATAGTTTTTTTCTTGTTTTCTTGGTAAGTAAGGCTGTGGACGCAACAATCGGTGACACTTGTAGATCAACTGATTAATCACGTTAGATATTTACGGTTGTTGTTCCGACTTTCGAAGAAAGTGAGGAATATGCCCGGGGTGGTTTTTTATTCAGACCGACTTTAGATCGGTGCATATGGGCAGCGATGTTATATTGTCATCGATGCATATTTATTATTTACTACGATGCATTTGGGCGTCAATCTGGAAGTTTTGGGATTGCCAAGCGAGAATGCTTGCACAACACTATGGTGTGCGGCTGTGCTGCTGGTGTAGAACTTTGATATTTTGTTTCAATACGAGAGTTATTTATGCTAGGCGAATCATCCGAACTCATAATCATTCCAAATTGAATTGATGAAAGCTAATTGGTCTTATTAATTCCATAAACGACTCAAGTTTTAACGATTTGATCGGCCTAATGTTTGCAGTTATCAACATTTCATCGACCAACAACGAGTCGAGAACAATTATTGGCATGTCGGAACTTTCAGGGCTTTGCCCTGATACGAGCAGTCTTGTTGGATTTTCTCGTTACTATTACTGCGACCACACCAATTTTTGTTAGTTGTGCGTTTGTTACATCAAGTTGTTACTCTTGTTAGTCCTGTGGATAACTCATGGTGGATAACTCTATTAAAACAATTTTATTTCTTTTTCGCCTGGTATATAAAATGGGGCCTGATTATCTGCCCGGTTTGACCAAAATTTTTATTCATACAATTTTTATATAGAAACTTCTTGTCGTATAATTCCATGCAATTTCATCAATTTCATACGTACATAAAATTGTAAGAAACCTCTATGATAAAATTTTTCCAAATATGGAAATTGGTATACCTAGAAGATTTCCAGGCGAAATTTAAAATCCGAAAATGCCTATAAACCTGGCTGGCTGAGTGTTAAAAAATGGTCTCGAGCGACTCACATAAGGAGGTAACTCACATTTGATCAAAAACTATCTTCCGTCATTTTACCTCGTTGTTGATTTGAGCAAGATGAGATATTTCACCTCTGATAATTGCATATCAGCGGAACAGTCAGCTTAAGTTCAAATTCACAGCAAGAAAAAAGAACTAATTTTTCTATTTTAGTTTTGTTTTCCTATGATTTTTACTATGGCAACCACAATAGGTGTTTTCTCAAAAATTTGTACATCAACTAGTTACTCCAATTACGCTTATACTGAGCGTAGTAGATACCCTTTTTTGTTTACCACTTCCATCTATATCTATGCGTTAGTTTGATCATCATTTGTTTTTACTCTCGATAGAAAAAAGTTCATGAAATAAAACTTCGTTTTAATTATTGTGAGTTCGTAAGAACCGTGGCTGGATCATCTGTGCTAAGTGAATATCAATGAGAAACGCACTTAGGTACTCAGGGAAAGACCATTGTTTGGCTTTTTTTTTGTTATTCATGCACAAAAACATGATGTTGCTACATCCTTTTTTGATACTTGAGGATCAACTTGCGTTATATTCAAGAGATTGTTGAAATTTTTTTTTTAGTATTCAATCGGAACTATTAGTCTGGCTACATCACTTTGCGCTACTTGTGCGTTAATTCATCAATTTTTTTCTCTTGGTAGGTTTAATTTCATTAGAAATTCTCTCCTTCCAAACTTTTTAGTTTTTGTTTTTAAATCTAGTTTTTAGTTAACCACACCAATTTTTGTTGGTTGTGCGTTTGTTACATCAAGTTGTTTTAGTATTCAATCGGAACTATTGGTCTGGCTACATCACTTTGCGCTACTTGTGCGTTAATTCATCAATTTTTTTCTCTTGGTAGGTTTAATTTCATTAGAAATTCTCTCCTTCCAAACTTTTTTGTTTTTGTTTTTAAATCTAGTTTTTAGTTAACCACACCAATTTTTGTTGGTTGTGCGTTTGTTACATCAAGTTGTTACTCTTGTTAGTCCTGTGGATAACTCATGGTGGATAACTCTATTAAAACAGTTTTATTTCTTTTTCGCCAGGTATACAAAATGGGGCCTGATTATCTGCCCGGTTTGACCAAAATTTTTATTCATACAATTTTTATATATGAGAAACTTCTTGTCGTGTAATTCCATGCAATTTCATCAATTTCATACGTACATAAAATTGTAAGAAACCTCTATGATAAAATTTTTCCAAATATGGAAATTGGTATACCTAGAAGATTTCCAGGCGAAATTTAAAATCCGAAAGTGCCTACAAACCTGGCTGGCTGAGTGCTAAAAAATGGTCTCGAGCGACTCACATAAGGAGGTAGCCACAGAACTTTTTGTGTCCAAAAACGAAATACGTTTCACTCCTATTTTAGCTACTAGTGAACAAGCAAGAGAGACCCTGAAAACACAATATCATACATTGAAAACTGAAAACAAACAAAACATCAGACAACATCTACAAACATCAAAAAATTTTAAGCAGAAGTGCAACCTAATTATTAAGATATTTAAATAGTATTAATTATCTACTAAAACATTTAAATAATTATGAAAACGCAGAAGCGAAGCGGAGCTTAGCATCTTTTGCCATGCAACGAAAGCGTAGCCTTGGAAGCTACCAAGAAAGAAAGTGAGATGGAAATAACCAGCTCGACAAAAAATTTGAAAAACACCAACATTTTTTTTGGACAAATAACAAGTTAAAATTCAGAAGAACAGACGAGAATAGCATATACTAGCATTAAATCAGCCTTTAGTTTTTTCGAACTTTCAATAGCTCATCGAGATGCCCATAGTGGCTGTCATGTGCCGTCAAAAATGCAAAACTCGTCCTTCCAAACTGCTTGCAAGAACAGATACTCAATTTAAGTTCACGCTCAGACCAACTTTTTTTTCTCGTTTTTTGTTAGTTTTTTCATGTGCAAATTTTATTGTGACCGCTTCATTGTGTAAGTATAGGATCATTTTTTCTAAACTCAAGATATTTTCCCTTAGCAACTCTTACGTTACCTGATTATTTTGAAATACAGCCTGAAAATCCAAATCGTTTCTCGTTGCACAGAAATCGGCTTCTTTCAAGTTAGTGATAGCCGTGTTTTTTCTTGACGACAGGCGCAAAATCTTTTTAAAAAAAAATTCGGTATATTTTAGTAGCTCGACCTCTTAATATGCTTTTGCGATGATGAAGAAAGTAAGGCCTAAAAATAGTCAGACCATGTTTGCGATTTTGTATGCAGTCAGCTAGTTTGAGCCTGTAGATAGTGACGGTTTTTTGCTGTATATGGGTATACAGTACAGTTGCTTTCAGGACGCAGTTACCTTTTTCTGCTGCGTTTTGATGCAATGATTTGAAACAATTTCCCATCTTTTTTAATCTTTTTTTGTTTATGCCATAAAATCGCCTGATTTTAAGGCCTTTAGTCAGTAGGGAATGAGGCTTATATGATTTTATCTGTGCGTCACATAATCACTGTCGTGTCGGTATTGATTGTCAGCTTGGATTTACCTCCGCTCCCTCGCATTAAGCATAGACCATATCCCATGTGCACAAATAAGAAGATAACAGAAAAAATACAAACTGATAAGCAGAATTATCACTAGGCAGACAGATTTTTTTTTACATGTACGTGTAACTTCTTGACCAAAAACCCACTCAGAGAAAAAACCCTTCATACACAAGCACGAAAGCACCTAAGTTCCTTTTGAATAATTTTTACAAACCAAATTGAACCGTTACCCTATTTTTAGTAAATGTCTCAAAAACAAGATCCAATTTCTATTTTTCAGGAATATTGCGTATGTTTTTCTGTGTTTTAGTTGCTAAGTTAAATTCTTTGGCTCACTGCCAACGCACTTTTCTATCTTTTCAATCTCTCTTTCTCTTTCCTGCTTTTACCCTCACTAGTTTTTTATCTGCTGAGATTGGGCTTTGAGTTTGCGTGGGTCGCAGCTGAAGTGCTTCTTCTGTCTCCGCTTTAAGCCCGTCATAAATCCGATGTTATGTTTCCGTCTTTTCCATATATTACCACGCCAAATTATTTCCTCATTTGGATGACATTTAGCTTTTTTCCTTATCTCGCTCGGTAAAAGGAAAGGTAAAGTGTACGTTCATTTGAGCAGGGAAATTGAACCCTTAGTAGAGGAAACAGTCTTTTTCCCTTATCGAAAAGCGATACTTAATCCATGTCCAATCAGAGGAGGCTAATCAAACATGCTCTAGAACTGTGCGTGCGTCTTATTGTACCATACAATTTTCAATTCACTGTCTCACCATCTTATACCAATCTCTTCTTCTGCTGTTGATTGAACAGATTTTTGACGTCACACTTCTGCTATGCCGAGTACAAAACGGTTTAATTTAATCCATTTTCAGCTCCAAGCCATTCTCTGAAAATTGCTATTTTTCCGCCCCACAACCACAGCCTCGCAAAAGGTTGTTTATTTCATTAAGTTTTACATTTTAAAATTTTGTTTACTGTGGGTAAAGTAACAGTCCTGAACAATAACGAGATTCGGCTCCATTCTGTCAGCTAGCTTTGAAGATGTCACATAAATAAAAATAGAAACCGTGCTCTGCTTGAGTTCAATGTACTAGCGGGTCTTATCTGGCACCGAAATTCAGCAATGGGAGCTCTCAACTTTCTGGACTCTGGGTTCAAATTGTTGGGCCATGACTTGTCAACATTGTTCATACATTTCTCTCTGGGATTTGTGGTGGCTCTGGCGTTCGTTTTGGTCGTGGTGTACAACCGTAACCGGCTACATGATGTTCTCATCAATAATCGAGGTAGGGTTTTAGGCGCTTTGCACTCTAAATTATAATATATTGGGACCGAAGGCACCTTTGCAATTTTCTTAGGTTTGGTTAGAAATGGTTGTCGTAAATTAGTACGAAAGTGGTAAGTTTTGGAAAATGTGGCAACCAGAAATGAGAAGAGGGTGGGGTGGGTAATCATCCAGTACGTTACTCATTTTGGGCTATTTTAGCCGGGAATTTTTGGGATTTCTTGATATTCAGTTAGCTGAAAAATAGTGACTCACTTTCAGGTAACCAGCAGCAGAATATGTTAGCTTAATTAAAATTGATTTTCGAAGTGAGGTTATGTTATAAATGAATCAGGCTTTATCTACTAAAAATTTTACCACACACATTTTTTTCGACGAAAAGGGGTCGTTTTTTGAAAAGTTTTCCAGGCAACTTTTTTGAAAAGTTTTCCATTCCAAGCTTTCGAAAAAAAATAGCTGACCTTAACAAAATTGCCTGGAAAATGAAGGTGCTATTGAACAATATATGATAGTGATCTCATGGATAGAAAGAGTTCACCAACAGATCTGAATGAAGAAGTGGTTGTCCAATGCCGACTCCTCTATAAACACAGTAGTTATGTAATACTTGATAACGAAAAAAAAATGACAATCTGTTGATTTAGTTAAGCAAGGAAAGAGCTGGATAAAACACATGCGGAGACTCAGCGGCTTCGACAAATCAGACAGCGGAGAGACAACAAAGACGTGTGAGGACGAATCATCCGATTCAGCTGACACAGAAGACGACTGCGACTCGGGCCCCGAAGTGAGAGAGTTCAACAGACAGGAAGAGGATGACCTTTCGGATTATGACGTCATATCTACTTCGGCCATGAGCAAGATGAGCAGGAGTAGCAGCACTGACACAGCTACAGGAGCCGACGAGGAGAACATCAAAGGATCCTTGAGTGGTCAAGATGCATTGGTAAACAACATATAAATCACTGTATCAAAGAATATTAATGATCATGTCCTATTTCGAATTTCAAAAGTTTCGATTCTCAAAAACTTTATCGAACTAAATAATCTTTCTTTATAACCAAATAACCTTTATAAATACCGTATTTTTGAAAAAAAAAATAACAGGCCAAAAATGCGGTTTTGATTGGAAATTGTTAAGGCCGTTCGTCCAAAAACGGATGTCGTAAAATAGTCAAAAAAAGGGGATCCTGTGGGCGGTGAATGGATTGAAATCCTCGAGAGGGGTGTCCCCCTAAATCCCCCTTTGACCTTATCTCCGTGGGAAGGGTGGATAACAACGGTATACCTAACGAAGAGCATAATTTGGGATAACTATTGTGAGGAGGCTGTTCATAGAATACTTTGTTTGATCATTTAGAAAAGTCGAAAACGGACTAGAGTTGACGGGTCTGAACGACCTCTGAGCAGAATTCACGTGCGATTGAAGTCTGAGATGAAGCACAACAGACTCGAGGAAGACACGATGACTGAAGGAGATGACAGTGATTCGGAAAAGATATTGGCTGTGGAGCTTGTCAGATCGGAGAGACGCTGTGGTCGGTTCAGAGTGAACCCAGTGCTCAGATGGTATGCCAAGGTGTCAGTAACTGTCACTTCCTCTTCATCTCATCTCACAGCGTCGTCAGGACGGGAAGGACGAGAAGATGGCTGCCTGAATTGTGCAGAGAGACAGGAAGTGTTCGACTGGCCGCTGGAGGAGTATAAAAATGCACAGATCTTCACTTTCACTAGCACTCACTACCAGGTATTCAAACACTCTTTCGTTACAACAGAAACAATTGAAAATGTGGAAAGCAGTAACTTTTTCTAGAATCAGTTTTTTCTAGCATCAATTTTCTTTGGCATCGATTGCTTCTTGCATTAAGTTCTTCTATCGTCAATTTCTTCTATCATCTAGCAAGGTCTAGCAATTACTTTTTCTTTTAAGGAGGGTTTTTCAGAAACAGTTATCTCTATCAACAGTTTCTTCTAGCATTGGTTTACTCTATCGTCAATTGTCCGTATGCATTATTTTCTCCTAGAAACATTTTCTTCTGTCGTGGGTTTTTCTAGCATCAGCTTCGCTTAGCATTAATTTGTTTCTAACAGTAGCTTGTTTTAGCATCGCGTTTCGTCTAGCATCAATTCCTCTAGCTTAAGCTAGTTGTATCATCAGTTTTTCTATCACCAGTTTTCAGCACCATTTTTTTCCTGCACGGGCTTTGTCAAGCAGTACTAAAATCAATTTTCTCTAGTATCCATTTAATCTCGCATCCTCTCCCAACTTGGTTTTTCTCTAGATTCAGTATTTTCTATCAATAGCTTTTTCTATGATTGATATCTGTTATTATCATTTTTTCCAACATCACGTTTTTCTTGCATTAGTTTTTTTTTCTAAAATCAGTTTCTTCTAGCATTAGTTTCTACTATCACTAGTTTTTATACCATCAGTTTCATTTAGCATTTGTTGCTTCTAGCATTAGTTTCTTCTAAAAAATGTTTTTTTCTCGCGTCATTTTAATCTAGAATCAGTTTCTTCCAGCATCAGTTGTGTCTAGCTTCAGCTTTAACTGGCGCCAGGCTCCTCCTGGCGTCTTCTACCTTCCTATTCCCTTTGATCAGTTTTTCTACCATCAGTTTCTTTGATCCTTAGTTTCTTCTACAAGTAGTTTCTTCTATCCTAGATTTTTTCGCGCATCTTTTTTTTAATTTCTACTATCATCAATTTTTTCACCCTGATTCTCGTCTAGCATCCGTATGTCCTCGCGCATCAATTTTTTCTAGCTTCAGCTTTTTATATTTTGCTTCTTCTGATTTTTTTTATCAGTTCATTCAGTGTGATTTTTTCTTGCAGTAGTTTTTTTTTCTAGTAGTAGCTTCTTCTAGCATGAGTTTCCTCTTCTTTCAAAACTGTATTGTTTTAGCTTTTTTCTTGCATCATCTCCTTCCAGCGTCTGCGTTAGTTTTTTCTATTATCAGTTTCTTCTATAAACCTTATAGCATCAGTTTGTTTCAGCATCAGTTTCTTCGTCCATCAGTAGTTTCTTCTAGCATGAGATTTCTCTTGCGTCTGTTTTTAGCATGTTTTTTAGCATTAGTTTCCCTAGAGTAGTATGCATATAGTGCGTTAGGATCGGGGGGGGGGGGGTTGTCATACATGGATGACCATTAGGTATAAATCATAATGGTCACCATGTATTAAATGATCAGCAATGGTCACCATGTAATAATCCTAATTGTCACCATGTATAATTTTATACCTAATGGTCACTATGTAATAATCCTAATTGTCACTATGTATAAATTTATACCTAATAGTCCTCATGTAAAATTTCGGTATATTATTCAGTATTCCCACTGAACGTTGTGGAAACGGGAATGGAATTAAGTTTTGATCGGTGCATGTTTTCCCTTCTAAAGTTTGGGGGTATTGGTTTGCTTACATGTAAAATGACGTTATATACCTATTATATGCGATCAAATTATATGGTATATAGGCAAGCACAAGATTTTGGCAGCGTAGCTTAACTGTTGGCTGCGGTGAACGATTTCCTTCAAAAATGCATGTTTTATTGCTGAATCTCGAAGAAAGGAAAATTCGTCAAGTGCGGCGGCCGCCACCTCTATTTAGGCGCAAATTAATAATCAATTTGACCAAAATAAGAATGAAAAATTTCGTTCAGCCAATTGAAGGTAAAAACAAAGAAAAATTATGGAACACTGAAAACTCTAAAATGATGAAATTGGCTTGAAAATTTTGACATTTCCATTTTCCGTGTCTACAGGAGACTGAAAAATAAACGTCTGAAATCTATGACAAAATATTTGATTTTATAGAAAGGTTGAAAGAGCTAAAAGGTTGAAGTGGCTAAAGATCTTGAAAAACGAGAACACTGATGAAAGCCAAAAAGGCCCATTAATTTTGCTGCAACCATTTCTAAGACATGTACCTAACTTGTTACTATAAAATTGAAGTGGAACAAATTTTCTTGGGGTCCGAGTAGAGGAAAACGCATGGCGCTCGACTCTCAGCCGAAAGGCGGCGTTTCGAAACCCGTCCGGAAATTGTACTGAAAGGAGGCAACAGTAGCTGGTATGGTGATATCCCCCCATAGATCGATTTTGCACTTTTTTTCTCACTTTGATAAAAAGCTTAACTTCTCGAATTACTGCTATTCAGTTAACAATTGGGTAAAATTTCAATTACTAAAAGAATGAATTGTTCAAAATTGAATTGTAAAATGTATATATCAACAATATTAAATGGTTAGTTAATGGGTAAGCATGTGAGTTAGGAAACGTTTCAAAACATGATCAGTTATGTAAACAAAATCAGAAGCATCACCATTAAAGTTTTTATCAAAAATCAAATGTGCAATATAAATACAAAAAGAACCGCACATGGTAGAGTTTGAGTCTTGCATGGGAAAGTTTGTCATCAATTCAGTCACTTGATGAAAATTCTCGTTCAATCGTTTATACAGATTGGTGTACTGCCAGAGAGGAAGACCGAGAGGATCAGCGAAGTATAAAACATTTCTTCTGTTGCATATCACAATCCAATGTGTCCCCGGAGAATCTGATTTTGAAGTGTTCACAATCATAAAGATGTTGTTTGGGATGTGAGGTGGAAAATTGTCGGCTGCAAATACTCCAAAAAACTTATATTTCAGATGTTTACAATTCTGAATGAGGTCCTGCAACTGGATTTCATCCATTTTCAGACTGTCGAAATGGGAAGGACGTTCTTTGTAACTTTGCGGTCGGAGGTAATAAATACATTGGATGAGCGTATACCCCAAACAAAAATTTCCAGGTTTGCTGTCAAAGCGTTTGAGAATTGAAGATCGAGTGAAACTGAGCAGTTAGTAAGTTCTGGATGCAAGAAGTCATGAGCTGCCTGCTGTGTGCTAGTGAGATCAAAACACATAATAAAGTGCTGTTGGTAGTTATCCAGAGTGATTCCCAGCCCGCAGTGCAACAAACCCAGCGCTGATAGTGTGTTGAAGAAGAGACGTTTATGATCTTGTGTACTGATTGGTGTACTTGCTATTGGTAAACCATTTCGTCTCAAAGTAACTTGCTCCAGTCCAAATTTTTGATAATGAAAAGGATTCGTTCGGTTTGTTCCTAGAAATGCATTATTTGTGTTCAATGCTATGATAATTTGTCTCACCGGTTCACGAGCAAAAATATCTTCCTGTTGCCAGCTGCGCTGACCAGCTATTGCAAGAAATGTTTTTGTAATTTCTTCTTGATATGGGTAGTTCGCAGGAGTTTTGAGCAAAGTTGATTCAATGGCAGAGAGCACATGGTCGGTCACAGTCATTTTTCTAACATATAGGTTCGCTTCGAGTATTTGCAGCTTGTAATGCTTGGCAGCATCTTCCGATATAATGAGAAAGTCTTCATGAGAACGTCTGTAGGAAAGTCTGAGGGTAACACCGCTCAACAAATGCTTGTCACATGTGAAAAAATCAACTCCAGCGGGTCCTTAGAACCAAATTTCCCTCGATTCACGGACCAGTTCTCGTTGAGATGTGAAATCAGCTGCATCTATTGCAGCGGGATTGTTTTCAAAACGATATCCCTGACACTTAAGCCATGAGTCCTTGGCTCCTTTGCTGTTAGAAAATTCTGTTCCAATAAAGCTTTTATGCGCAAAATTACTATTGGCATTTGAGATTTTGAGTCCATTAGCAGAGAGGGTACAGTCAGAGAAAAGGGAATACAGGGAGTTGTTTACGAGGAACGGTGAATCAGACACAGTAGGATCAGTGTTGTCGTATCGCAGATCAGCTCCACTTGATTGCGTTACTTTGCATCGTATTTCCAAATAAATTTTTTGCAGGTCAACAAAATTATTACGGTCACCGGTGATTTCAAATTCAAGCATTGGTCCATTAGGTGAATAGACAGGTCCAATTTTTTGATCAAAAGCGTTTTCAAAAGTAATCAAAAGAGGTTGTTTTTCAAACAAATCCAGAGAGCTATGGGTAGCTTCATTGGGTAACAAATTAGCGATCATTTTTTATGTTTGAGAAAAAATCTGCTCTACTTCTCACTGGTCTGGTTTTTCTTCGAATGGTTGTTTTTCTTTTTTGAGCCCCTACTGACCTTCTTCTTCGTAATCCATTCATTGGTGTCTTTCGACGACGTCGTCTACCACCACCGAGTTGTTTTCTTGCAGTTTTTGTGACAGTGTTTTTCAAGGCTTGTTTAGGAGACTTCTTTTTCATAGCGACATCAATTAGTTCTGGCGCTGCACTCATCAAAAGTTCTCTGCCCAGTTTTTTCGCAGCCGGTAGAATAACCCGTCGTGCAAACGGTATAGCAACACGACCAATACCAGCAGCCAAAGCGCCAAATCCACTGCCGCGTTGTCGGTAGTGTCCAGAGAAATGAGGAAGTGAAGCTTGCTTTGCATAATATTGTTCCATTGGTTTTCAATCAAAGCGCTTGAATTTTAGAGTCAACACAACTTTACCAGTTCCTGCAAAGGGCACTAGTCTTCCAGTTTCTGTGCGCAACTGTACCGATATTGATTGTACAGATGAAGTGAATAATTTTTTGTAGTCTAAATTAGTGAAGTTTTTTCGATGATTAGGTTCAATGCTGCAGGCACTACCGTTTTTGATGCGTCTATTTGAATCAATGACGCGTAACAATGGGGCCTTTGCATCACCAACAGTTTGGTATTGAATAATGTCAATATAGACAAAAATTAGACTTGTCCCACTTGATAAGTCATATGGGAAATGAGAT